TGGGTCGGGTTAGGTGGGTCAACCCTAACTCGACCCTCGTTAAAGAGGGTTCAACTTGAACCGCCTATAAGGCAGGCCGGGGTGAACCCAACCTGCATGCAACCCCTGGGTGGGTGGGGTTGTTATATGGCAACCCGGCGACCCGACGGGTTGCTATTTTGTTTTTTTAAAAAGAACCCGCAAACCCGCCGGGTTGACCTTCGAGTTGGCAACAGTGGGTTGGCCGAAAAAATACAAAATTGATTTTTTTTTCAAATACCCCTTTTACCCTTGAAATATAGCCATTTTATAGTAGTTGAAGGGGTCTTTTTCGTCATTTTCTTTCCCCCTTTTTTTTTTTTTTCTATAAATAGACCCTAAACTCTCTTCTTTTCTCACATCCCAAATTCTCTCATTTTCTCTAATCTCTAATTCTCTATTGAAATCTCTCAATTATTCTCTTTATTTGTAAATTTGCTCTCATTTTAATTTTTATTATTTTTTGCAATTTTCAATTCATATTTCCAAATTCCAATTCTCCTTCTTTAATTTTTGTATTTCTTCTATATCAAATATATATTTTTTTTAATAGATATTTCCATCCCATCAATTCCGATGATGAAGAAAACTACTATCCTAGTCCCCCTAAATTTTCTAACATAAATGCAGTAAATTCAAATAGTCCCGCTTTCCCAGTCTCAGAATATGATACACCTCATAATATTCCCCCAATTCCTCTCCATGCTGCTACAGCTCCCGGTGGTTCTAGAAGTCATCCTCGTAATCATCGTCCTCGTCCAACTTCATCTCAAGCTGAAGCGAGTTCATCAACTGCTGTCGAAACCGACGACAGACACACATCAAACGTTTGGGTGCATTTCGACAAGGTTTACGAGATAGAATATAGAGTTCAAGAGAAGAAAGCAAGATGCAAGTATTGTGGAAATGTTTATAAAGCTGATTCAGGTAATAATACTAGTACTTTAAAAAGGCATGCTAATTAACATATTGCTTAACATGGAAATAGAGAAACCAATCAAACTCAAATAACTAATATGGGTACTATTTGGCATTATAATTCTGATGTATATATGGAACAATTAGCTTTATATATTGCTGCAACTGATCAACCTATTAATATGGCTGAAGATAAATATTTTGAAAGATTTATTAAAAATTCATTTTTTTTAGGATTTAAAAGTTATTCTAAAACCGCAACTAGAAATGATCTAATAAAATTGTTTGGGAAAATGAAATTAGAATTAAAAAATAAAATACATAGTTGTCATCTTAGTGTGGCTCTAACTGCAGATATTTGGAGTGACAGAGCTAAACAAGATTATATTTGTGTGACTAATCATTATTTTGATAACGAATGTAAATTGAATAAATCTTTATTAGGATTTAGATTAATGGATGAGGATCATAGTGGTCAACAAATTTATAATAAAATTGTTGAAGTTTTAGAAGATTATGATGTTATTAATGAAGTGATAAGTTTAACTTTAGATAATGTAAGTGCTAATAATACAGCTATAGATTTTTTTTAAAATTAATTATCCTTTTTATAACAATTTGAAGTTTTTTCACTAACGTTGTGCATGTCACATTTAATTGTGAAAAGTGGTATGAAAACAGTTAAAGATAATATTGATAGAATTAGAGATTGTTTAGCTTAAATTACTAGTAGTAATAAAAGAAATGCTGAATTTTAAGATGCTTGTATAAAATCAAATATGACTCCTAGAACTTTTGCATTAGACATGCCTCTTAGATGGAATAGTACTTATTTAATGTTTGATTCATGTTTACCTTATACAAATTTAATTAGTTATTTTGTAGCAAATAATAGAGATCCTCATTATTTGGTAGAAAATGATTGGCATATAGTTAAAATATTTCATTTTTTCTTAAAATTTTTTACCGATCCACTTTACAACTTTCTGGTGTGTATTATCCTACTAGTCCATTGGTAATACATACAATTATAAAAATTTCAGAGTTATTTACAAAAACAAAAACAATGAAATTTTAAGGGGACCAATAAAGGCAATGGAAATTTTTTTTTTTTAAAATATTGGAAATCCATTCCTTTTCTTTATTGTTTAGGTGCTATATTTGATCGTAGAATTAAATTAGCACGTTTAGAAAATGGTTTAGGCACATTAACTGAAAATTTACAAAGTGAAGCATATGCCAATCAACTAGAAGAGGTAAGAGACCAATATGAAAACGGGTATAGGAACTTGCAAAGAGGCGAATATCCAAGGAAGTTGCATCAGAAGAAACAAATGAAGACTTTTACTCCTAGACTGCACTTAATAGAGGACCTGAATCTGAAACACAACCTCCTCTTTAAAAGCACCAACAACGAATATACTGTCCTCCGTGTGGTCACAAAGTAATGAGCTTCAACAATATTTGGGAACCCCCGAAATGTTACCAGCAGATCCACAACAAAAAGCCAACTTTGATGTCTTAGAATATTGGAAAACCAGAAAATGTATTTTTCCGGTATTATCAAGACTTGCCTTGGATGTTCTTTTCCTGTCTCAACCGTCTCATCCAAACAAACATTTAGTGCAAGTGGAAGAATTTTAAATGAAAGGAGGACTAAACTTGCACAAAAAATGATTGAAGTCCTCACATGTCTTCGAGATTGGGAATGGTCGCGCTATCAAGATCAATACGAGATATTCGACAATACTTTAATAGAATCATTTCAATTTTGTAATGTAGATGATACGGATGAGGGAGATCCTAGTCAACCCCCAAATTAATTGTTTTGTAAATTGTAACTTGTAAATTAATTGTCAATTATTGCACTCTTTTTTCTTTACTAAGTTTTTGTCCCATTGGGTTTTTCTTGGTGAGGTTTTTAATGAGGCAATAATTGTTATAATTTCTTATTTTATTTTTTGATAAGTGAATAAATCTAATTTTTCTTATATTACAATTTTATTGTATTATAATTGAATTAATATTTGAAATGTTAACAAAAAAAAAAAAAATTAATTTAATTGAATTATTGATATTTGAAAAGTTAACTAAAAATAATTACACAAAACAAAACAAAAGAAAAATTAAAAAAAAAAATCAAAAAAGGGGGCTAACTCGGCTCGGGCCACAACCTAACCTAGCGGGTTAGGGTTGGCTGGTCGAGCTGTGCCAGCCAACCCTAACAAGTGGCAGGCCTAACCCGACCCACCTTTGTTGGTTGGTTGGGTTAGGCCCGACCCACCAAAAGCACTAACCCGTCGCTGGGCAGACGGGTTACTTTTCCATCATTAGTCTCAGGTCATAAAGTTTAGATTAGGCTTACACAAGCCCCTTTATGGATCAGGTTTTGATCCACTATTCCGTAGGTCTTTTATGAGCCTTGTTAGGGCATGTTTTTGCACCTAACCCAATATATTGTTTGGGCCAACCAAGCCCAAAAGTGGTTTAACCATAATAAATAGTGACTCCCACCAACGTAAGCTATGATAGTTCTATATATATATATTTGTGTAATGAAGTCTTATTCAAAAGTTGGAAGAATAGTGATCTGATGATTTTGCTTATACATGGTTGAAAATGCATCATTCTTTGGTAAAAATTATCTTATACATCTATCACCTTCCATCGTATTTTCCTTGATTGATTTTGCATTTTACAACAGTCTAAAATAAAGCTTAGACTTTGTTTCTTTCTTTTGAGTCTTATACCATTTTTTCCTTCCACTTTCTCCCCTTTATTTTCCTTCCTTCTGTTTACTTTTAATAAGCGGCCTAAACCGCGTATAGAAAAATTGTCAAGAACGTTTACAACACTCCCAACTTCTCTATCCCAATCAATAAAGACTTTGACTTTTCTCGTGTCTTAATGTTGGAATGGTCAAAAGTATCTTCGTGTGTTGAATATTAAGTTTTTGGTAGAGACAGAACTAGAATATCCCAACATCTGTCTATTCTTTTATGTAGGAAAAGTTTAAATCTTGAATTGATTTAAATATTTCTTTGTTATATAACGGTTATCAAATCAGATTTCCTTTCACTTACTTTTAATTCTTAATTTTAATTCTTTTTCAATCTTACCATTTTCTCCTTTCACTTACTTGACTTCAAATTTTCCTTGATTTATTTACACAAACCTCTATTGAAGTTTCAACATTTCGCAAATGCATAGAAAAGATTGTTAGATTACCACAAACATCCCATTCTTTTAACTTCCACAGGGCTCTTTTAGGGTTTTTTCTTACACCCCTTCAATATAGAAAAGGGACAAGTTGCCCCTTACAAATAACCAGTTACACCCCTACCATCTATTTTTGCAGTGTTAAAATAATCTAAAATAAGAAGAACTATAAATTAAATATTTTAAAACAATAAAAATATTTAGAAAAAGTTTTAAAAAAGTAATACGTATTTAAGATTTAATATTTTTTTTTTTAAATTCTTTTTTCAAAGAAGGTGTCTCTTATTGTTGAAACCACCATTCTTAGATTATCTAAACTACAACCTTTTTTGAAAAAAAAAAAAAAAAAAAATTAAGTTGACAGTAAAGAGTACAAGTGACTAATTAAGGGGGGTAAGTTCAATTTTATATGTTGGAGAGGGTTTAAGGGAAATAACCTTAAAGGAACTCTAACGGAAGTTAAAAGGAGTGGATTGTTTGTGTTAACCTAATAATTTTTTCTATATGCCTCAGCAATGTTTAAACCTCAAGGGAGAAATTTGTAATTGACTCTTTTTCTATACTTTTCTCTTCTTGATAAGGGTTCAGACTATGGAGTCTGTTAGTGGGTGTAGACCGGGTTTAGATAATACGGGGAATTAAGAGAATGTAAATAGTCAAGAACGTTTACAACACTCCAACTTCTCTATCCAATTCATAAAAGACTTTGATTTTTCTGGCGTCTTAATGCTTTCGTTGAACATTAAGGTTTGATGTAGACAGAAGTTGAATACATAATTTCTCTCTATTCTTTTATAATTCATCTTTGGAGCAGATTTAACTATTTTTTTTTGTTTAAACAGCCATTATCAAATTTTATTCTTTCTGGCACTGAACTTATCTTTCACTTTTAATTTTAGTTTAAAGCATTCTAAATGCTATTTTGTTGTAGAGACATGTTCTTAAGCAACTGCAAGAGATATTTCCTGCACTAGGACCTCCACCTCTGAACTATTGAAGTTTTGATTCATTAAATTGTATCTTGTTTCATCTTCTCTAAACCATTTAGATTAGGGACGACATGAGAATTCATAAACATGCCGTGGATCTTACAAATCTCTTTTCTCTTCTTCCTTACCTATTTATAAGCATTACTCATAGCAATGTTTATGGCGAAAACCGATATCTTATCCTCTCAAATCTTGCTTCTAATGTATCGGCAAACGGGGGTTTTGTTACTGCAACTATTGGCCAAGACACCAACAAAGTTTACGCTCTTGCAAATTTCAATGGTGATTATTCTCTAGAAACTTGTTTCAGATGTGTCAATGCCTCAACCCAACATCTTATAACTAACTGTCCCAACCAAAAAGAGGCACTTTCATGGGGAGGAGATAACATTCCGTGCATTGTACGCTATGCGAACCGCTCTTTTTTTGGACTACAGGAGCTTGACCCCCTTGAAGCTGGCTATAATACGGGTAATATCACTAAGAATCTGACACAGTTTGATCAGACGTGGGAAGGTTTAATGGACCGCTTAGCCACAAAAACTTCTACAGGTTCTTTTAAGCTCAAGTTTGCAACTGAAGAAGCTAATTTGACTTACTTTGAGAAGATATACGCATTAATGATGTGTACTTCAGACTTATCACAGAGTAATTGTGACTACTGCCTACGGCAATCTATATTAGAGTATAAGAATTGTTGTCATGGGCATCGAGGAGGTTTCGTTCAGAGGCCTATCTGTTTTTTCGATGGGATTTGTATCCCTTTTATGAATCTAAAGTAGATGCTCCATCGCCATCTCCACCACCACCACCTAGTATTTCCCCTCCGGAGATATCTATGACAACTCCTGCAGGATAGTTCTCACTCGATGTTTTTACTTCTATTATTCCTCTGAACAGTTTCTTTGTAAGTTAAAAAAATTGTCATGTATATTGACTATGTATATTATATCTGTGTCTATCGTGATTTTGTTGTGAGAAAGAGGAGGCATTGAAGCTGTAACTGTTGGAATTATTGTTCTCTCTATAATTATCTTCATATCCCTTGTTGCTTTCACTTGTGTCCTTTTGAGGAGGAGAAAGGCAAAGCATGAGAAAATCAAAAAGCAAAAATTACAAGGTTAGTCATTTATGCATTATATTTTATCTTATGTGGATTATAAAAATTTTATAATCCACATAAAAATTATAAAAATTTTATGCTTCTTTCTTAAAAAAGATTGTATTTTGTTTTCTGCCATTTAGTCTTATTGCAACATTTTTCTAGATATGCACATATATTACATATATGAAACTAAATTAATGTTCCTGACTGGATTTGTGCAATCTATTTAGTGATTTGGTTTTTGTGAATTTTTAGATCCAATCAAGCGATTATTATTAGATTGGGAAAAACGATGCAAAATCATTGTAGGTATAGCTCAAGGAATTCTATACCTTCATGAAGATTCAAGAATAAAAATCATTCATCGCGACTTGAAAGCGAGCAATATACTTTTAGATGCAGATATGAATCCAAAAATTTCAGATTTTGGAATGGCAAAATTATTTGAAATGGACCAAACTCGAGGTGATACAAGTAAAATTGTTGGAACTTTGTAAGTATATACAAGAAGATATCAAGAATCTTAAGTTTTAGCACTTCCTTTATTTGGCAAAACAAAAATTTTGGAGTTGCATCTGATCATGTTTAGGTTTGGTTTCCTTTATAGCTAATTAATTTTAAATAACGATATTTTTCAGTGGGTATATGGCTCCTGAATATGTAATGCATGGACAACTCTCAGTGAAGTTAGATGTTTTCAGCTTTGGCGTGTTAGTCTTGGAAATCATTAGTGGCCATAAGAACACTAGTTTTTGTAATGGAGAAGAGGGAGAGGACCTGCTAACTTATGTAAGTAGAAATCTTTTAACTATTTTATTTTTTTTCATTTTCTTCTGGAACAGTTCCAGATTCGGAAAGATCATGAAATTTGAAAAATAAAAGAAAGGCACTAACATTGTTTGTGCATATTGTTCATTGTTCATAGGCATGGAGAAATTGGAAAGAAGGGACAGCTTTCAATATTATTGATCCCATTTTGCGAGGTCGTTCCAGTAGTGAAATAATGAGATCTATTCATATTGGATTACTATGTGTTCAAACAAATAAAGCTGATAGACCAACCATGACTTCAGTTGTTCTCATGCTTACTAGCGGCTCTGTCTCTCTCTCGGTGCCTTCAAAACCTGCATTTTATCTGTACACAACCGCGGGGCAGGATGATCCAAGTATCACTTTACGTGGTAGATCAAAAATCAATAATGTCCAATTTACAGTGAATGAAGCTTCAATTACCGAGTTGGAACCTCGATAAGATATAAGGATGCTGGATCTTTAAGCTTGTTAGTACTCTACGTTTGAGTTTCAATAATTTTTGTAAGCAGCTAGACAGTAGCAGAATACCAGCATTCCTGTGATTTTGATCTGGAATAATATTCTTTTTTCTGAAAACACTGATGTGAATTCCTTTCCTTTATTAGTCTTTTATTCTTCAGAATTTTAAGGACACTGTCTGAAATAAATTAATTTATAGTTTTCTTTCTTTTGAGTCTGGCCATTCTTCACCTTTCTTTGCTTTTACTCTTGTTGATAGGGGTTTAGACTTTAAACTGATCAATTAGGGGCATAAAGCAGGTATAGATAATACAAGAAATTAAGGGAATAAATGGTCAAGAACGTCTACTTTTCTATCCCAATTAATAGAGACTTTGATTTTTCTGGTGTCTTAATGTTGGAATGGTCAAGCATCTTTAGTCGTTGATGTGGACAGAAGTTGAATACATGACATCTGTCTATTCTTTTATGTCAGGTTCAAATTGAATTGATTTAATTCTTTCTTTGTTCTAACACCTGTTATCAAATGTGACGTACTTTTAACTATTTTACTATGAGAGAAACTGAGGCTGCTTTTTATAATAGTATTCTATAAGATTACATCATTACTTCACTTTAGGTATTGTATTAACTAACTAATAATTATATATCAATATTATCAATTATCAATCATTAAATATAAATAAGTATAATTAACTATTAAAATAATCTATCCTTCCACAGTTATGAATAAATCATTAAATATTATTTTTAAAGTTATGTTAAAGTCGTCTTGATGCCAAACTTTTTCATTTAGACTTTTATCACCCAAAAACATTGGGAAATTTTCTATCGTTGGATTACAACCGCCAATGGTCAAATTTAGACTCCCATTAAAAATGACATTTTGACTCTCTTTGAGCAATGTAATGTCCTACTTGCCCCTGAAGTTTGATTGTAATTTCGTTAATTTTTTAAACAATCTAATATTAAAAAAAAATTAAAAATTGGCAAATAATTTTTATAAAAAAATTTAAGAAAAATTTACTGATAATTTATATAATTTGTTTTTTTTTTTAAAAGAATAAAATGTATTTGAACTTTAAAATATTCTTATAAAAAAAAATTCAAAATGAAAACAATATCAAGTACCAAAATAGTACAAAATATTTATCAAACTATAAAAAAAAAGAAAAAAATTAGAATTACCTTCCTGTTGGAATTTTGGCTACTCGTCGAGATCGTGGCAAAAAAATGTGATCATTGTACAATCTCACCAGATCCATCACATTCTAGCCTAAATCTACCACAGTTTGGCCTATAATGTGACAGAGAACTCTAGACACAACGGACATAGAGCATCATATTTACCACAATGCGATCTGGTGCTCCAAATTTCAGCAACTGTGATATTTCATTTTTTTTTTTTTAACTTTGATCCATCAAAATTATTTTGTTTAACTAAATCCAATGACTGATATTTAGGTTAAACTTTTTTTTTTTCTTTTTAAGTTTTTAATAGTTATATAATTTATTTAATGGTTTTTTTTTTTTAAGTTTATTTTGTTTCATTAAACATTGTCTATTTTGCCTCTATTCCGGTTAAATTTAACTAAAGAAACTAATAGTAGGTCTCCATGGTAGTTTCTGATAATGTGTAATGACCTAAAAGGACATTTTATTTCTTAAAATATTTTTATAATTTTAAATTTGTATTTTATAAGTATTTAAAAAAATATTCAATAAATTATTAAAACTAATAATTAATAAAAAATAAAAAAATTATTGACTGACCAATACACCACCGTTGATCAATGTTGACCATCGGTTGACAACCGTTGACTTGTAGTTGATCAGCAGTTGACCACCACCGGTGGCGATATCAACCACTTTTATTTTAACTTTTTTTTTTAATTTATAAATAAATTATAAAATTATTTATTTAAAAATTCATAAGTTTATTTAAGTTAATTTCATAATTTGAGGAATTATGTATAGGTATATTTATTATTTTATAATGTACAAAATCAGTTTTTGAAATAATCTGATTTTTATAGCTATCCTTATTAGCTTTTAGATTTTTTTTTCTATGAAACTGATTATTTATTTTAAACTTAATCAATTTCAAAGAGTTATTTATGAAACATTTTTATTTTTATAGTTTAAGAATTAAATGATTAAGGCTGAAGTTACAAAAGTCTGAGTGGCACTCTTACGTAATAAACAAGATTGAGATGAGAGGTGATGAGGTTCGTTGAAGGGTGATAAACAAAAGAAAAGAAGAAGAAATAAAAGCAGTGGAGATATTTTTGTTCAAGAATCAGTAATCTGGTTAATATGAAAAAAAGAAAAAAGAGATCAATTGATTAAGTAGACAATTCAATAAATTAGAGACCACGCGTAGAGGAAAACGACAGATGATCTCAGTCAAATTTAAGGAAACTTGAAACTAGAAAAGATATTCTTCTACTCAATTCATAGACAACAATAATTTTAAAAGACGAAACATTGACCACATCTCACTTCCGGGCTTCATCTGCCTGAAGGATCTTTGAGTTCACCAAAATAACAATATAAGAAAGAAGCACCATGTTATCGAGGATGTACTTCAGTAATTGATGCATCATCAACAGACCATGGCATTGATTTGCTTTTTGATTGATCAAAATCCCACTCTTTTGTTGGCATGCTAGCCCCCCCTCTACTACCAAGGAAAAATGCTGGTTTTTGAGGAGCTGGAAGAGTGACAGAGTAACTATTAAGCGTGAGAACTACTGTTGCCATTGTGGGTCTGTCAGCTGGATCTTCCTGGACACATAACAACCCCATATGTATGCATCTAATCACTTCATTTCTCGAGTAAGAATCTGTCAAGGTTGAATCCAACAATTGCAACGGTGTCCCGTCCCTCCAATGTTTCCATGCCTGAAATATTAAATTAGTCAAAATCAATTACCTTCGATACTAATTAACTCTTTTTTCTTTCAACCCTCACTTGTATGTAAAGATATTAGCTCTAACAAAAGGGAAACTAACAATATCTATTTTGCTTACATAGCTCATCAGATCCTCAGCACCATCTGTTTGAATTAGCGTTCCATAGCACTTTGAATCATCTCAATCGGAGCTCGGATGAGAGAATTATGCCCAGAATACGAAGCAGTGGCGAAACTGTCCGAATTCCCCTAATTAATTCCGTTTTTCAATTAACACCTCCATTTGCTTCCTAAACCAAAATAAAGTAATAATGAGTACAATTAGGAAACAAATACATATAAAAGACTAAACATTAAGAGGGTTAAATATGACATTTTGCATTCCCATCAGGCAACCCAAGGGGAGTTTGTTTTCTTATTCTCACATTTTAAATTTTGGTTATTTTTGCCCTTTCTTTGCATTTCATCTTACATTGGGGACAATGTCAGTTTTAAGTGTGGGGGAGGGGATTTAGGTTATGTTTTAATCTGTTTAAAAAAATAAATAAAAAATATCTAGTGATGCATGAAATAGTAACTTGACTTTGTTATTGAGCATATTCTTTGACTTAGGATGTTAGCAATATTTCATAAAATAGAGTTAATCATATTTGAATCTTTGTAGTTTTGAAACAATATGTCTTGAGAAGTTGTGTGAACTTGGTGACAAAGCATTATTGAGGAGTGTATAACAACCCTTAAAAAAAAAAAAATTGTTTCTCTTAAGCTAGTCCTAAATTTGGGTTTAAGCAAATAGGAAAAAGAAAAGAGAGGTATGTGGTGAGTCAAGATGGAGCGTAAAATGCACTCACTCATAAACACAACCATGAAATGAGATGGAGCATAAAATGCACTCATTCTTTTTCAAAACAGAAAAAAAAAAACAGAAAAGAAAAAATAAATATCCCTAGTTTGCTACCCAGTTCGTAGTTGTAAAGAGAAACAATTGAGGAAAAAGTTGAGAGGTGAGTTGTACATGAGTTGGTTGTGATTAGTTTCCTTGTTTGCATTGACTGATTGAGAGTAATTGTGGAAAATGATGAAGAGAGATGAATGTCATTAACTCTACTTTATTTTATTTTGTTGCTTCCTAAGTTAAGTATGAATATGCATGGATTAAATATTGTTGCTTATGCATCATGATGGTGTGCTGGATATGACTTGATCATGATGGTGTTCTGGAAATGACTTGAGTGTAGTGTTTGTTTGAATTAGTTTGCCCAAGGACGCGCAAAAGCTAAGTGTGGGGGAATTTGATGAGAATGCAAAATGTCATATTTACCCCCTTAATGTCTAGTCTTTTATACTTATTTGCTGCCTAAATGTACTCATTATTATTCTATTTTGATTTAGGATGCAAATGGAGGCGTTAATTGCAAAACGGAATTAATTAAGTGAATTCAGACAGTTTCGACGTTGTTTTGTAATCTGGGCATAAATCTCTCATCCAAGCTCCAATTGAGATGATTCAAAATTTTGTGGAACGCTAAGAACGAGATCTAAAATGTTCATGTTTTGAGTTTGGAGAGATGCTCACTGCATCAAGGTTATAATCGAGCTTGAATTTGATGCACCTGCACTGCTGACGTTCTGGAACATTCTGCCTTGTCATGCAATTCAAATAGGCAGATTACTACAAGAAGTTTTGAAGACCTGTTCACGTAAATTACAGCTGAAAACACCATTTTCCTACTTTGTATTAAGACTTTATTTTATTTTCAATTACTCAAATTAGGATAAAGGTTATTTTGGGATTTTAGAATATTTTTAGGAGATTTAGATTGAGTAGAATTCGAATTCGAATTAGATATTTTTAAAGGGAGATCAGATTAGGGATAACATATATCACACATGCCTCTCTTCCTCTCTTCTACGATTTTTCTCTTTTGATTTTCGTGATGGCCATGAGCGGCTAATTTTCATAACTTGGTCGGACGAAACGAAGACCTCGGAATCAATAAAACTGTGAGATCTAATCTAATTTTTACTGTTCAATTTATGTTTTGAGTATTGGATGTTCTTCTATGCATATTTTCATGATTGCTGCGTTTAATTACTAGGAGGCCTACTAGTTTATTATTTGTTGCAATCTACTGCTAAGTTAGATATCAAATCTGTAATTGTTTGATCCCTTTAACTTGTGAAGTAATTAAGGTTTAAGAGTTTG